GATTGAAGCGCCTGGTGAAATGTTAAACCATGCTAAATTAGAAAAATAGCTAAGCATTCTGTCGCCGCGCATAGGAAACCTGAAGGAAGTTACATTAAGAGGCTGGTATTTTGATATCGTCTGCAATGCGCCTAGGAAGCTGAAATTCCCATCTGGCAAGTGCTTCTAAATACACATTTGTGTTTCAAATGTAGTTTTAACTAATTATCAGTCATTAGCCGAGTGCTGGGATATTAGCTTCCACTTTTTCACAGGGGGAAAAAACGCTATTTAAAAAATGTGAATACACATCAATTTCCTCCTCTATTGGGTTGAAGTATACTAGGGAGAATTGTTCCAGTACAGGATCATTTTATTTTGCTAGATTAATCTGAGACTACAGAATTAGTAATAGGTGCCTTAGAACTACAGCAAAAAATACTACAGTATACGATTATGTATCTACCACTGGATATTTGGAGAGTTATTTAGATATCTTTTAAGTCCGCAGCTTAAGACACTCCTATTTCCTTAAATACTTATTGTTTGCAAAATTGAATTGATTCAAAGAGATTCATCTCTTTTAACAACCTTGTATAGAAAAACATACGGTTTATATCAAGTGCCTTTTAAAAGCCGAGGGACCCGTGTGTATAAGAATGTATCACTTAATTCCGAAAAAGGGTATTAAAGCCTCTTTTTAACAATTAAAACGAACTAATTTTCTCCAACTACTTGTAGCGTATAAACAACGGCAATGTTTACATTAAGTCTGTTGTTTTGTCTAAAACTAATAAAGTCTTTTATGGGCTCCATCAGCTACATGCTATATTCTAATTCATAAACTAAAGATTTAAAAAAAGCCTTATGAGGTTGCAAACCGCATTCTTGTGGTTTCATGTTGTAATTTAGAAGTTATCAAAAACAGAAGAACGTGTTTAAATCTAACATATGCTGCGCATCCCTGTATTTTTCAACTTTATTAAAGGCGGATCAGCAAGGCCTTAATGAGACGCCATTTTGGAAAAAAATAATATAAGTCAGATTTTAATATTCTCTTTGAGAGCGAAGGCGCACTCGGCCATGAATGCCAAGCAGAAGCAAAACCCTGGGTTTTTTTTAACTCAAGTGTCAGTTAAAAAGGCTTTCATTAAAACCCAGAGTTACTTTACAAAAGTGATGTTTCCCCCTCAGTGGTAGAACCCGACCGGTATTTTAACACCAAATTCCCTGCCCTCCACCCACAAAAGGGATAAGCCAGGAGGGGGGAAAATGTCCCACGAGAGTCTCCAAGACACAAAGTGGGGAGAGCAAGCTATTTATTTACATGTACTCATCCGTGGCTCTCCGCCGGGCTTAGCTAAGGCTCCTGCAAAATTCCCCGCACACAAATACGTGAATTCACCCCATGATCCACAGGCGCAGATTAATTCATTGCATCGCCGCTTGAAATCCACTTGCCAAAGCCACTGTCTTTGTTCTTCGGGGGTTCTAATCCCTTTTTTGGTGCCACATTCCAAGGCAACGTGAAACCCATGAGGAAAGTGGAAATTGTCACAGAACGGCTTTTCCTTCGGGGCTATTGTTTGCGGGTCTGGCGGAGTCACTCCAAAGTTGTTTATTTACATGGCACCGAAGAGAGCTCGCCCTTCGAGGGCCGGTCTTATCACACTGTCAAGTTTACGTCCTCAGCTCATGAACTGTTACAGAGAGTGTGCATGCGAGCGTGCATGTGTGTGTGTGCGTGTGTGTGTGTGTGTGTGTCCTGTGTGAATCCTCATGTCTACAGTCCCTGGACACTTTATTCCCGGCGGTTGGTTTGGAGTTCTTTAAAAAACAAAAACCCAAAACAAACGCCTGCATTTTCTGCAAAATTTGCCCTGCCTGCAGCTAACTTAAAGACACGATCCTAACCTGCAAAAAGCCAATTACAAGTTTGCTTCCTCGCCTTCTCCCTCCCCCCCCCCCCCCCGCAATATTTCAGCCACAGCCGCTTCCAATGCGTTGTGCAGGGAATCCAGGGAGGAATAGGAAACAGGTTGGGTTGATGTGTTTGCACGTCACAAGGAGAGGTCCTTCACAATTAGTCTGTATGTCATTAACGTGACGATAGAACAAACCTTTCCACCTCCCACCACTCCCTCAGTCTAGGAGGCAGCCTTTACTGTGACGGACATTCAATGGAAAAAATAATAATAAAAAAAACTTGTAAAACTTTTACGCCAAACAAAGTGACAAAAACTTTTCATGCGTTAAGACAGCAAAAGGTTTATAACAAGAATAAAGCGCGTGCGGGGTGTGTGTGTGTGTGTGTGTGTGTGTGTGTGTGTGTGTGTGTGTGTGTGTGTGTGTGTGTGTGTGTGTGTGTGTGTGTGTGTTTGAGTTAAAAGTTAGCTCACAAGAAACGTCATGTTGGGTCCCACATTTGAATTTAAATACAAATGTGGGTTCTCCTCCGTCCTACCACCCCCCACCCCAATTCCTTCTCGGGGGGCGGAGACACAGAAAGCCTTTCTGATTCCGCTTTATTACAAAAGGGTTAAAGGTGATGGACTTGACTTTATTGAAGTTCAAAGACATCATATATTCACATTTTTCTTCCTGGGGACCGCTCTCCTCCTCCCCCTTCCCCCGGCCCAAGGAGCAACATCTCAACACGCAAACCTACAAAAGGGCCGGGCTTTTGCGGTTCAGTGGGAGGATGCAAAACAAAAACACGGCGCAGGAGGACAAAATAGAAGCCAACTTCTCCAAATCCACCCACTGTGGTATCCAATCCATCCTCACTTCCTCAGCTACCCCACATACACACATACACACTCAACACCCCCTTTCCCCCCAAAAAAGAACATTAACAGCCTTTTCCTACATGGCACTGCTGCTAAATGCTGTTGTAAACTCCCACATGGTCTATAAACTTGGATTTTACAACTGGCATTCCATTTTAGCTCGCGAAAACTTTGAACTAGGCCTCCACTTTCATTGTGGTGCAGTTGAGATGAAGCCATGAGAAAGGGTGGGGGAGACCCTGGCAAGACACCCTTATTTGTTTACTATTTACTGCGGAAGTCTTTTCCTATGGCCAGACGGGGTAATTAAGAAAAATTAAGCTGTTTAGTGCTGCAGTCTTTATTACAATGTCTAGACTACCAGCTTTTGTCCGGATAGCGGTTGCTGTTACGGAGCATTAACTGCGGTCTCTGACCTCGTGATAAGCCACCTTATTGCACTTACCCGAAGTTTTTCTAACCTTGGAAAGGTTCGGCAAACAATCGTTAAAGAGAGGTGGGCTTATATGAATAATATTCCCTCGTCTTTGGGCCACTCTTGGCCTCTATCACTGAGGAGTGGTAGCATCTGTGAGGTCTTTCTCATTGAGGTCACTACCATACCGAGGAATTGCCTCCCGAGGACAAATCCAGGTTGTAGATTTCCAAAGGGTTGTCATGATGTTAGGCCCTGGGCGTACCTCCTTAAACATTTCCACGTTTTCCACATGAATGCAAAGAAAATCTTTGCCATGTAGCCTTTATTTACCATCTCATGTAATGAGAAACATGTCTATGAACATCCCCCGTGCACATTATGTCGTGGCGTAACCAGGATGGGTCTATCACACACACACAAAGTTTGTTTCTCATTATTCTTGTGTGTGTGTGTGTGTGTGTGTGTGTGTGTGTGTGCAAGCGAAGCACATTTTTGTGGCTTGCAATTTCCCCTACCGCTGTCACATAAAATCAGAAGCCACCATCAAAGTATTTTCATTCAACAGGGTTGTATTTAAAAGCAATTATGAGAACTTTACAAGAACGTTGTCAATGTATGGGAATATAAGGCGTTGTTTCCTTGCTGTTGTTCTTTTGTTCTTTCTTTTTCCCCCTCTTTCTTCCTCTCCCCCCCCCCTTCATCCATACAAAACTCCACAAGTCTACATCAAAAAGATATGGAGGATTCAGGCTGAAAAGCAACAAAACAACCTCCCTCCTCCCCCAGTTGTTCTCTACACACAACATACATGCATCTAGCCACTAGCGGTATTTTCTATATGTTTTTCTCTTCAAAACAATTTGTATCTCTTTAATATGGCGGGGGCGAGGGGTAGCTTTGTGTAAGCATAAAAATTCACTTTTGGACCATCGGCCTGGGAGTTGAACTTCTTTTCCTGAACCAGGAATTTAAGGACTTGACTTTGCATTTGTGCGTTGTGTGGAGAAGGTCGCTTACATTTGCCTGTCTGGAAATCCAGCATCTGTGTCGTTTGACTTGCGCTCATTTGCAAAAGTCAAATATAGGGGGCCAAAGATTAATTACATCCGGAAAAACAGAGTAAGACACATGGAACCAAAAACACGCTGGATTACTGGGCCAAGAATCTCCAATAAAAAATTAAATCCGGAGACGAACACAGAGGCATATGCATTTGGACCACGCCACAGTGCGCGGAGCCAGCTGAATAGATGATTATCTATAGATACACGGTGATGGTATCAAATATACATAGTTGATGCCATTACCAGTTAGGGATTAAAAGTCCCATTGGAAACTCCATACCGCATTGACCGCACTGAGGTTTTTAAGAGGGGGGAATACTAATAAAATGGTCAAATAAAATCATAATATAGAGCAGCTTGCAATATCTTTATTTACCACAGAATTTCACAAAGTTTCCCGGGGATCCACTTTACATACACAAAGATCTTTTAATATTAGTAGTAGTAGTTGCTGTTGGTACTGTTCCTCTAGATCCGGGGGGGAGGGGAAATGTATTACGAAATGTATTTACAAACCACTTATAGACAGTTATTGCAAATGTATTCTCTTCCATAGACCCGCACCTCCCTCCCCCACACCTCCCGAAAAATGTAAAATAAG